CTCGGTGTTGTGTATAGGATGTCAGAAATGGGTGCATAAGAGATGTAGTGGTTTGAGGGGGGCACTGAAAAAGGTGGAAGGCACGTTCAAAAGTAAGAAATGTGTTCATGGTGTGATTAATAGGACGGACGCAAGGACGGGGTTGAGTGGTGGTATTGAAAGAGTGGAAAGCTTTGTTTACTTAGGGGATAAGCTGAATGCGGATGGAGGATGTTTGAGCGCAGTTACGGCTAGAGTTCGTGTGGGATGGATGAAATTTAGGGAACTGGGTGGGGTATTGTGTGGAAAGAAATGGTCAGTGAAGATGAAAGGGAGGGTATATAAAGCATGTGTGAGAGCAGCGATGGTATATGGTGGTGAAACTTGGGTGTTGAGGAGAGAGGAGGAAAGTGTACTGCAGAGGGCTGAAAGAGCTATGGTGAGGATGATGTGTGGGGTTAAAGTGAAGGATAGGAGGAGTAGTACAGAGCTGATGTCAATGATGGGACTGAATGAGGACATTGTGACATTGATAAGAAGATCGAGATTGCGGTGGTATGGACATGTGTTGAGAAGGGATGAAAGGGTCGGAATTAGGCGAGCGTTGGAGTTCGAGGTTGAAGGAGTGGTAGGAAGGGGTCGTCCGCGATTGGGATGGAGAGAGCAGGTGGAGAAGAACAGGGTGAAAGCGGGGTTGCGTGATACTGAGGCGAGTGACAGATGTGGATGGCGTCGAGGGATATTTCGGTTTTATCATAGGTAGCCAAACGGCAACCCCCGATCTCGGGGAAAATGCCGTCTAAACGTGTGTGTTGTTGTATTCCTATAAATCCTATCTCTCATACTCTAGCTGTTCGTTTCATTTAAAAAACGACGACCCCATTCTTACTTTATTTATAAAACAGCATTCAAAATCACTTCTGTAACTCTTATTGTTGTTTGGAACTAGTAAATTGACATTTTTTTGGAAAATGCTGAAGAAACACAAGATGTGCACAGCTTCAATGAACAAGTGGACGTCACAAAGAAAGGTTCACGATAATCTTTCTAAATAGCTGCTAAAGAAAGCAGTAGCCAAATCAGGGGATGACGTCTTAATTTTTAATTTTCAAATATGAAAGGACTTATTTTTCTGCAATGTTTTGATTACGCTTTCCTGCCTGCCTACCTACCTGCCCGTCTCCGTGCTTGCCTGTCTGTCTGTCTGTTTTATCTCAATTCGATCTCTTCAGTTTTGCATTTTTAACAATTAGTGCATTTAGTTGAGTAATGACCAGTTAACTTTCGAATGCTTAGCACACCAAAATTATTCTATACGCTATGCATATGATAGTTTGTCAAAGGTTTCGGCATGCCTCATGTGGAACGATTGTTGTATATGATACGAGTTTTGAAAACTGATTAAAAATCACAATTTCCTGTGTGAAAATGCAGGCAATTGTGATTTAGTTGTTAGGTGTGCGATTGTCTCCATCAATATACGATGACTGCTTCTACTAGTCGGTGTCGTCGTCTCGTCTTGTATGGAAAAATCGAAAATTTGAAAATAACTTTGAGTAATTTAACGTTGCATGAAGAATAACGATTAAGTGAGTTTTGATTTTGGTTGATGATCAATGAAACTTACAGGGTGGAGCAACTGCCAGAAAGAAGAATTGTCAACCAGCATGCTTACATCCTCTTCTACAAATTAGAATATGCCGCCGATGAGGACACTTCTTTGAAAATGGATGAAAACATTTTCAACCTTCAAAACCTCCTTTTTTAGTTGAAATTAATTTTTTTTATTGTTTTTAACAAATTAATTAAGATTATTTTATTGTCGAAAATCATCATTGAACTCGTAAATGTGATAATTTTTAAATATTTTTATAGTATTTATACATATTATTTTGTTTATAACGTGTTTTCATACTTTGTTTTTTGTGTTTTTGATGTATTTGTTTGTCTCTTTGTTTGGAATTGTAATGTGCTGTGCGCATTCTTCACATTCCAGGGTGTTTTGTTGGTTTTGTGTTTCATAGTTTGAAGTTAATGCGTTATATATTTAGTTTTATTTCATGTTGGATTTGTTTCGCTTGAAATCTACCAGCAATTGTGATGGAGAACAGGATGTTTCGTCGAATAGCATAAATGTTTTGTTGATTTATTTTAAAAGTGTTCACGTTTGGTTTTTCGTTACATTGCTGATCATCATACATTCCATATTCATACGCTTTTGTTTGAACTACATATTTAACACTATTTTTCGCATTCTGATTTACCGACTTAAGATTTTTTTAAACATTTTATTTATTGTATTTTGATTTCAATTGCTTTTGTTTAAAACAGTAGATTAATAAAAGGGGTTGTAGTAAAAGGACCTTTCAAGCGCAGTTTTTAACCACTGGCGTATTTAACGAAATGTGATGTGATTACGTTTTTGTGGTTAGCACCCTATCAATCAATCAATCAATCTTCGTTTTGCGTCCAGAGACCCGGTTTCCCGAGGTAGGACGTTGTTTTCTTTTCCATCAACTTTTTGCGCCAAATTAGACGATCAGTTGTATCCATTTCATTTAAATTTAGAGCTTTCATGTCTTGCTCGATTGTTTGCGACCAGGACTTCTTTGGACGGCCTTTGGGACGTGTGCCAGGTACTTCAACATCTGCAAGAGAAGTTATGGCACTGTTTCCACTTCGTTTGACATGACCAAACCACCGCAGACGGTGTTGCCGGCATTTGTTCTTTATATCATCTAAACCAGCACGACGCAGGATTTCGGTAGATTTGATGTGGTCCTTCAGACTAATTCGTTGCATCCATCGGAGCATTTTCATGTCGGTTCGTTGAAGTTGTTCCAGTTTGGTTGTCATTGGCCATGTTTCTGCACCATATAACAACACCGGACGTATCACAGATTTATAAAGTCTTGATCGTAGTGGTAGTGGGATGTCACGCCGCATCAATATAGAGGCAAGGAGATGCCATTTATTCCAGGCTGCACGTATGCGTGCTCGAACGGCAGCTTCAGCTGTTCCAGTACAATCCAGAACATCCCCTAGATATTGAAACGATGTGACTTTCTCTATTTTAATGGCTTCAAAAACAGTGCCATTTTGAATTTGTTGTTGTGGATTGATGCAAGCAGGACAAACAAAATTTGACACTTTAGATAAAGTACCAACTATTTTTGAACAACGTTTGTGACATCACTGGTTACACTGCTGACACTTGATTGAATTGTTACTTACACCAGCTTTACAAACTGAACAGGGCCATCGTCCAGTAGCTGTGGATTGGATGGGTTCACCAGTGTTCATTGCTTTGGTTTTGCTGATGTTGACTTTGAATCCATGATCGGCGAGTCTGTGTTCCAATCTTCAAACATCTGTGCTGCATTCTGCTCAGACGTGGCTGTTAAAACGATATCTGCATATACTAGATTCCAAATGTCACCAGTGCGTATCGGTTTTGTGATTTTTTCCATCACAGTTATAAATAAAAGTGGACTGAGAATCGAGCCTTGGTGAACTCCAACGCCGATGTCAAATGCATCTGTGTTTCCAACCGTTGTGCTGACAAGAGTCTTAGTATTCGTATACATTTCCATCACAAGTCGAACAAGATATTCTGGAATGAGTTGTCGACGTAGACTCCACCTGATTGCTTCACGGGGAACTCGATCAAATGCTTTTTCAAGGTCTACAAAAATATGTGATAGTTGTTAATGCTTTGCGAGGTACTTCTCTTGCAGTTGCCGAAGGATGTAAATTGCATCAATTGTTGATTTCCCCGCTAGAAAACCAAATTGATAATTTCCGATTGTGATGCACGACGTTAATCTTCTCTCAATGATTTTTTCGACAATTTCCAGGGAGTGTTCTAACAGACGTATACCCCGATATGATGAACAGTTCAATGGATCACCTTTGCCTTTGTATAGCGGGACTGTCATGCTATAGTTCCATTCAGTCGACATTGAGCAATTTCTCCAGATTTCACGGCAAAGTTGTAGTAACGTTTGGATACCTGCAGTACCAGATGCTTTGATAATGTCATTTGTGAGTCCAGAGGGCCCTGCTGCCTTTCCATCCTTCATAGCTTTTAGAGCTTCTGTAAGCTCCTCTATAGTGATGTCTGAAATCGGACCTTCGATGGGTGGAGCGTCAAAGTTAACATTGATGGGATTTGTTTCGTTTAACAGACGGTTGAAGTATTCTCTCCACTGTAGCTTGATCTCATCTTGTTCAAGAACCATCTCATTTTTGTCGTTTTTGATACATGAGGCACCAACTATGTCCTTTTTCGTACGCTTTGCTTGTTTTGCTATACGATACAAAGATTTCATTTGTTCACCTTTGCTTTTAGTGAGCCACTCTCTGCACTGATCTGTCCGAGCCAGTGCAACTTGACGTCTTGCATAGCTGTTCTCACGGAAAATTTTATGGTCATCAACAGACTTTGATTTTTGCCATTGCTTGTATGCAACTTTCTTTTCAGCTATTGCATTTTGTACACTGTCATTCCACCACCAAGTGTCACGTTCATACTGACGTTTTGTACCAGTTTTCCCACAAACTGTAGTTGCAACGTTCATTAAAACGGTTTTGTATGTACTCCAATCTGTACTGGCTGCGATTGGTGGTCTAACTGTGGGGCGACAATCTGTTGAAATTTTTCTCGATGAATATTGCTTTTCAGCTTCCACGTTTTGATTCTCCGAGGCATTTGTTTAGACTTATGTTTTGACAGTTTGACAACCAGGTCTGCCACAAGGAGTTTATGTTGGGCGACACATGATTCGCCAGGTATAACTTTAACGTTTTTGAATAGCCTTCGATGTTGTTGCTTGACAGCGAAGAAATCAATTTGCGTGGCTGATGGTCCACTTTTGTATGTTATGAGATGTTCTGACCTCTTTCTAAAATATGTGTTCAGTAAACAAAACCCGTGACTTTCAGCAAACTCAAGGATGCGGTTGCCATCTTCATTCCATTTTCCATAGCCAAAACCGCCATGTACGTTGTCAAAACCATCTGTTTTCTCTCCAACGTGGCCATTGAGATCACCTCCAATCAGGATTGTTTCAGATTTTGGTATTGTTGAGATGGTGTCAGAGAATGCAGTCCAGAAGTCATTTTTCATCTCTTCTGATTCGCCTGTCTGTGGTGCGTATGCAGAAAAAATAATCAATGTTTGCTTTTCTATGCGAAGCTTGATCCACATGAGACGTGAACTAATCCTTTTAATATCCAGTACTTCTTGGGCTAGCGGTTCTCTGACAAAAATTCCAACACCATTTTTGGCCGTCTTTTGACCATTCCAGAATAGTTTATATTTTTCTTTGTCTGAGTTAACATGACAGACACCATTCGATTTCTATCGGGTTTCCTGAAGGCAGCAGATGTCAATCCTTCTACGCTCGAGCATTTCTGCGATTTCCATGCTGCGGCCAGTCAGTGATCCAACATTGAGCGTTCCAAGTCTAAGTACCATAGAGGGGCCATTCTGAATTTTTCTGCAACATCCCTCCGCTATTGCATACTTCCCAGGGATTCTTGGCACCCCTTGACCACTTAAGGCCTGCTGGGAACTAGGGGCCGTTGTTTTTCTTTGTGATGGCATAAGAATAATTTGGGGAAAAGTTTTTACATCCGGACACCCATCCTGACGACAACCATCAGTTATAAGCGGTGGGCCTAGCCTTTCGCTTAAAAGCACGCAAGGCAGCGTGGATGCAGTTTTATGTCATACCCAGGACCAAGTTGATACAGAAAATAACTTTTGTGAACATAACATAACATCTCTTACTGCAAATTGATTTAATAAAAGTTTTAAAACAATAAAATGTCTAATTTTTCTGACATTAAGAAACTAAAAAGAAATATAAACACCCTACTATTAATATATATCGTCTCTGTGGTGCGGTAACCTGGTCTTTGGGCAAAGATGTGCTGAAACGTGTTCAGAGTGCGTTGCTTTGTCAAATGTTGAAACAAGCCATGTACGTAACTGCAATTTTTTATTGACTTTATTAAAAATTCGTTCAGTTTTCTCCAAAGTTTTAAGTGTGGAAATCTTTTGCATGTTCGTACGAAATTCTGGTGTTCAATTTATCTGTGTAATGTGGTAAACTGAATGAAAAAGGAAAGATTTAATATTTTTACTTGGCTATCAACTTCTATACAAACAACTGATGTCGTGAGCCATGTTTTTTGAATATTTTATTCGAAAAGTTATCTAATTTAAGCAAAAAGTGGAGCTAAGTTTTCCACAACATATTATTCAAAATGGTTGATCAAATTTCCTAAAGTTGGGTGTTTTACTACACGTGTGCTAAGACATCTGGATTGGCTCCAGCTGAAAAATTTGTATTTAAAATGCGTATTTGAAAAAATTTTAAACTCACGGTTTAACGTCGTCAATTTAAGAATAGATGAAGGTAGCTGTCTAGTCTATGTTTTAATCTAACCTGTGTGAGCGACACTGCAATAAAGCAGCAATGAGTACATTTGATAAATAATAAGTGGCGTGCAATTAACAGTTTTCAGAAACAGTAAAGAAATCCCTTTTCAAAAGTTGGTTAGGCAGCCACATGACGCAGAAAAAAAATACTTGTAACAATATCGGCCAGATTGTAATTTGTAAAATGTATCAACGTTGGAAGTCGTTAAAACAAAAGTTGGATTGAAAACATATTTAAGTTAAATGTTCAAATAGGTAATGAACATTTTTAAAAGAGGGATGTATTTAATAGAAATTTTATTAGACTTAATAGAAATTTTATTAGACTTTACTTGTTATTTTCAAGAATATCCGTTACATAGGCTACATGATACAATAAACACAAATAGTATAAAATAAAAACTGCCTATCGTAGAGACAGCATTAGAATTCACAGCGCTGGCCTGATGACATTCAAATTAATGTTCAACCAAGTTTTTTTTAAGATTTTTTTACTTCGCCTGACTAACACTTGAGATGAAAACGATCATTAAAAATGTATTAACGTCGAAAGCCGTAAAAATAAATGATCAATTGAAAGTATATTTACGTAGAATGTTCAAAAAGTTAATGACCGTATTAAATTGGAATGTCATATTGTTATTAGATCTTGTTACTTTCAAGAATGTTCACCACATATATGATACAATTAACATAAATAGTAAAAAAACATAAACCGCAAATTGCACAAACAGCATTAGAATTCAGGAATCGTATGTGAACCAGGCAGCTAAACAAACAAAAGCTGAAAAAACTCGAGTGGGCTATAAGAAACACACATAAAATGTTGTTTCTTTAACGTTAGTTATCTTTAAAACAAACGAAAAAGTTAACAATTTCTACGCTTCGCTTTTTATGAGTTCAACTTTTTTAAAAATATTTTTGACAATAAAAATTATTTTTTTTGTTTGGGTTTTAAATCATTATTGATTGAACATCAAACAAAGCGTCACATGTGGCCCACTTTAAAAGAGAGTTTAGCAATTTAACGTTATAATTTTTATGGTTATCAGTTTAAATTACAAAGTCTAAACAGGAATTGTTTTTATTAAGAAAAGCTTCATAAAAAATTAAAATAAAATTCAAAATTTGATTAATTGTTGTTGTTTATTTTTGTTTGTTTATTCTTATGTTAGTCTCCATTGTTTCGAGTAAAAATTAAATAGTTGTGAGACATGCATTAGTTTCATTAGTGCGGAACTGAACCAAGACAATAATTACAATAAGTTACTTTTAAAAAATCTATGGAAAACGAAAAATACCTACATGGTTTTTAAATACAATTTAATAGATATTAAAAAAGTTAGCGTTATTGTTTTTATTTCTATTATTAATACTTCTATTGTTAATAAAATAGTGTCAACACAAAAAAAACGTTGTTATAAGAAGCAAAAAATCATTGTACTGAGTTTGCTTAATATTTAATTCCTAACTAATTAAATATAGTTAAATTATAAGGCAAATAAATAGATAAACGTTTCAGATGATGAATAAAAAATGAAAATAAACAGTGAAAAAGATGAAAGACTTCATTAGAAAGTTGGAGGGCTCTTGCGTTCAGGAAAAAATAGTGAGGAGAGCAATTTCTTTGTTCATGAGAGAAATATTTTATAAATATTCAACATCAGAAGAAATGTTCACAGAAGATAAATGTAAATAATTGAAGCCGGTGCATTGGATATCCATTTAATAAGCACAAAGTACCATTGAAAATGCGACAAATTTCTTAATTAATATTAATTATGTTATATTTATTACGAAAATATTTTATTTTATTTATAATATTATATCATATAAAAAAAAGAAATATGCACATTTTTAAAGATATAAAACGTACTATATATAAATAATATACATATATATATATATTTATTTATTTATTTATTTATACATTATGGTCTATTACCAACACACACACACACACACACACACACACACACACACACACACACACACACACACACACACACACACATATATATATATATATATATATATATATATATATATATACACACAATTATACAAACAAGCATATATTCAAAAGTCTGGCTATAAATGCAACAGCCCAGTCTGTTTAATAAATGAATTCGACAATAAGCAAGTGATTTTTGTACCATCTTAGGAATTGGATACAGTTAGAGCACAGTCGAAAAAATATATTGTTTGAGAAGTAGCTTAGTAGTTGTCCAGTCAGTCGTGGTTGAGATGGCGCACCAAAGAATGCCTCGTGATCAACGTTCGTGCGCTCGTTCAACGATCAAAAATACAGATGGCGACAAATCCGTCTCTGGGATTTCTCCTGGCACTCTAATTTTGTTGTCGTACGTACTGGCTTCAATGATTCTTGTGATGGGCGCTGCAGAAGCGCTCGGTGAATCTACAAATCCCCTCCCCGAAGACGAAGAGGATATGTTCCACCCATCCATGAATTTACTTCTTTACGGGAAAAGAAATCTACCCGCGACTTCATTTGGAGAAAACTTCAAGCCACAAGCCGACTTTTATGGAGGTTCCGAAAGTCGAATAGAAAAGCTCATAAACTTGGTATATTACATTTGAGTTTATGAAATTTCAAATTATGTTTAATAAAGACTGTTTCTATCTATAATCTTGAAATTTTTTAACAATTGTTCAATTTGACTACATTTGTCAACTCTATTCATTAGTTTTAAAGTCCAGTTAATCAAAAGTACTCAGGTTTTAGGTATTCAAATACAATTATGTTACAAGTATTTTGATTTTAATTGCGTCGAAAATCAAATTGTTTATATAAATTCATAGAAAAAATATAACGAGCATTGCAATAAACACTCATAAATGGACATTCGTTACATTTCCAAAAAACAATTCTTTGTCAATCTGTTGGCTAACATTATAACCCTATATGTCGGTAGCAGTTTGTAATTTTTTGATATATTTGCCATCAAACAAAAAAGATATAGTATCAGTTACATATGCAATCTTAGTAATTAAAATATTTGTTTATACGACTGCCGGTTGTACATCATTTTGTAGGGAAACCATTTAGGAAGTTAGCAAAGAGTCTCTTTTTTTTAAAAGATGTGCATTTTTCAAATTATTTTCTGCTTGAGTTGAATCTCTAAATGAATTAAATATTTGTCTCTTCAACATATTTTTTATCAAAATTGTGTTCACTTTCTAACTCAGAATTGTAAACTATAATTTGATATTAAATTATTGATAAAAAATACTGATTTTTTAAAAAATTTTGACAGGCTGTTGATTCAACCAGCCACATTTTGCCTGAGTTCGAAGCCAATAATCGTAAGTCCAACAGCAATTCGAAAGATTTTTGTATCGAAGTTTTGAAGAAATGTGAAGCAGTGTTTCAAAAAGATAAATATTTCAACTGAAAAGTTTGCACCGCAATTATTTTATTCATTTTTCTGATCAATGTTGTTGCAGTAAATAATTCTTAACTTTCATAATTATTGATATGCATGAACTTTTGTAAAATTTTTACAAACTCAATGGTAAACTTTCAAAAATTTTAACAATTGCATATTTGCGACAAAATGATTTTATTCCTAAGCACTGTGTCTAAACGTGCTGAACTCTAGATAGAACTTATTCCTCAGTTTTCTCGATTGCATTTGGACCTACCCTACCTTGAATAATGATATATTGATTCGTAAAATGTCTCGTTCTTATACCTGGTAGATATACCAAATGTTTCCTGTGATGAGATCAAGTTTATGGTTTTGGCCGTTTAATTAAAATGAAAGTACATTATGATTAAAGTAATATTTTGACTTGAATGTTCAAATGAATTTCGAGCGTAATGTTACATCAAACATCATTTATTATAGCAGGTTGCAAAGATTGGGTGGAAGAAGCTTGATGAATTAATCCCGAACAAGTTTTGCCATTTGACAGAAACTTAAATTTTTGTTTAAAAGATATTAAGTTTATTCAAATTTAATAATTTAAAATCAACTTTTTTTGAATAATTTAAGTGAATAAAATTCAATTTGATATGTAAAGTTAGAGTTGTATTCTCTTAATTTTTAAACGAAATATTAACGGGAAATTATCGTTGACGAATTAATTTTGGCTATTATCAGCTGTTAAAACATATAAAACTGAACTAGAGATTAAATATTATCTAGATAAAGAACTTTTGAATAAAAATGTATTGATTACTTTTTTCAGTGGCTTGTCTTTTCAAAACGTATAGTATTTTCTGTAACGGATCACCTATTTGGCTATTCGGCTTAAAACCACTATTCGGTACATCTCTTTATAATGCCATTGTTAACAAAATTATATTTTACCAAGATATCAACGAATGACCAGGTGGAGGCCGCCTGCCAATCACGACGATCTCAAATCAGTGTGGCTACGACATATAATTAGAATAAATATAACGGCCTTCGCTCATTTTTGACGGTCGAGCAAGAAGCTTACTTCCGGAGGAGAATTGGAGGGTGATTTTTTATCGCCCAAGTCTAAAGTTACAATCGTTTATTTGCTAATTTCGGAATATTGCTTTTATTTAAAATGTTTTGAAAGGTGATACTAGATGCTGTTTTAGGATAGATATTGCTGTATGATGGTTTTTGCATTTTAAATTAAAAAAATTTTTTGTGAACCACTCTTCTAACACTTGACTCGTTAACGATTAACTAACCGGTAAGGGTAACGTAACAACATTAACGACAACTAATTAGTAATTAAATTACTAAACTCTAATAATTAAGCTAAAACTAAACTACTAATTCTAATTAAAATAAATAACAGATAATACTAACGAACATTAACATTAGACTACTAGAGACTACCAATCACTACACTACTACATACTACAACTACTACACTAACAGCACTTGTCCCTAAATCTTATTGCTTGATTGGTTGTAAAATTTTTACTTACAATGCATAGTCCTGGGAATAAAGAATATACTAAATTAAACAAATATATTAAACAACTTATCAATCAATTTTATAAAATAAACAATTTTGTTCAATTCAAGCTTCAAGCTCCTCAAGCTAATATTGCAATTTAATTAAAATTTATTTATTATGATATGAGTGATTCAAACTAAATTTTTTTTCATTTAATGTTTTATAAAATATTCCTTATTCTTAAATTATATTACATGTTATTAAATTTATTAAAGATAATGTGTGTTTCCAGTGATTCATGACTTGTTAGATCATGATCATTCAGTTTTAAAGTATCTCCATCACCATAACCAATGAGGTTAGTAGAAATTGCAGTTAGAATGTTGTGTTATTAATTATCATTAATTTACTAAATGCTGCGCATACCTATGGCAAGTAAATAAAATGATTAAGCATATAAATAGCCACAATCAAATTAATTTATACAGGCACCTATATGATTTGGATAATAATAATTAAAAATATTGGTATCATTGAAAATAAATAGTCATAAATAAAAAATAAATCATAAGTTGCTAAAAATAATAGTTCCTGTAAGATTTTGCCTTACACCTACATCTTTTTTTCATTCTTATATTGTAATAAATGTTTGTCATCAAATATATCAAGGACAATGAGTGATTTCTCAATCCATGACTAGATTGAATGTCATGATCCTACAGTTCCAGAGGATCCCCATCACCATTAGTCAATAAGGTTTGTAGAAATCACCCCAGGCTTACCATCAATGTTTTGTAGCCACCTTTTAATGTAGTGTTAATAAAATGACATTGAGAATAGTTATTTAAAACAATCTTATTAAAATTATTGAACAGGTATGACTAGATTACTTTCTTAATGTCCTAGTTTGAGGAAGATGTAGGCCATTTTTCCAAAGATAATCATATGCCTTAGGCCCATCCATACAAATGCAGTGTCAACACGAATGAATTTTGATCAGAGTCATATGTTCTAATTTTTTTAAACTTTTCCAGAAATTTTTCCGTTAATTTATTTGTTTCATTAAAAACTTGATGTGTATTTCATATAAAAAAACTTGATTATGCCAATTTAATTAACTTGTTAAGCATTAATATAAAATTGACTCTACTTGTAATGGTGATTGGTATGATGACGATGATCCCAGTCCTAAGCAGGGTTTATTATTCACAATGTCATTATGCTCTTTCTAAGTTTTAATAAAATACATGGATAATATTGTTGAATGCATTTTATATTTTTTGTATAGATAAGAATGTTGCAATGTACAATGATGATGTGAATTGCTTCCTTGTGTAACTGATGACATATAAATATAACTAACTTGAAAACATGGGAATGCTTTCTTCAGCATTACCTTCCTTTCTCCATCATAACCCTTATAATCTTTATTACAGAAATGGTCACTGCATATTCTTGCATTTTTTGATGGAAGCCATTGGAAATCATTTATTTCCTATCTGATGCACTTACTAAATCCAATCGTTTCGCATTTCTACATTTTGAGGAAATCTGAATTTTATAAACTGTTACAGAAACTTGTGCATTTCTTAAGTATTGCTTTTAATAATAAAATGGTAATGAAAGCGTTATTATAATGATTATAAAAATATAAATATAATAGTCTATAAAATATATGTAATTGTAAAACAAAATAGTTCTATTCAGTGAGTATAGGGATAGTTGTTACATTTATTTTAGTGTGAAGTTAAATTTGGAAATAAACCTGTGAAAAGATGCATCAGAAATTTTCTTATTTCTATTAAAAAATAAAATTTATTTATTTAAAATTGCATTAATTTATTTAATAAATAAATGCAATTTTAAAGCAACAGGTAGGCATGTCTGTATAGTATAGCTAGGAAAATTAAACAACAAAGACAAATTATAAAGCAAATTATAATAATAATAAATAATAATAATAAGCAAATTAAACTAGATTTATTTTTAACTCTTTGTTTACCTTTTTATGGAATTTCCCAGTACCATCCTAAGGTCTTGCCGTACTAATTCTCGTGTCAGATACAATAATTTAGTTTTTAAGTAAATTTTAATTTTCGTAGCTATACAGACATGCCTACCTGTTGCTTTAAAATTGCATTTATTTATTAAATAAATTAATGCAATTTTAAATAAATAAATATACATATACAAAAACTGAAAAATAAATGACAATATAAAAATTTAAACATTTATTGAAAGAGTTTATTCAGTCAGAAAAATTAACAAAACAAGAACGAAAAGTAAAAAAGCTTCGAATTACACCATTAACAACAATTTTTCAGTCGTTACAATTTGTAACAAAATTTTAGTTTTTTTTTAATTTTTATTTAATGTGATAATTAATTATTTTTATTTGGTTTAAATTTAAAAAAATAAAATCAACATTACCGAAAATAATTAAAAGTTGAAAAAATTGAGGTTCTTTGCCTATCTCAGCTTCAACCCATAAGAAAGTGTTGTATGTTGGTAAATAATAGGCCTCCCCTTGGGCTACGACACCAGAAAAAGATACCCCTTGGGCTACGACACCAGAAAAAGATACTAAAAGTGCTAAATTATTTTGAAAATGAATCAAAATGAATAAAATCTTCAAAAAATGAATATTTATTAATAAACTATTTAATTGTAAAATTTTATGCATTTGAGGAATAAGTTTAATGGAAACTAAAGAATGACACCAGACCCTAAGGCGCACTGAAAATGTGCGAGAGTGCATTTGAGGGCCAGTATAAGTATCAATTAATCAATCAATTAGCTTATAAAGCGCTATTTCCGCGATGTTCAACTGCGCTCCTCAATGAATTTTGAAAACAGATGGGTCTTGAGATCCGCTCTGAACTTCGCAAGTGATGGAGAAGTAGTCAGAGAAGTAGGTAGAGAGTTTCAGAGAAAAGGACCATAAAAAGCAAAAGCAGATTTGGCAAAAGAATGTTTAACACGAGTTAAGAAAAAACGAGAACAAGAAGACGATCGTAAACCGGGGCGTTTAGGTTCAATTAATATATCTGATAAATACTTAGGAAATAATTTAGATTGAGACTTTAGATACATAAACGTGCAAATTTTAAAAATTATTCTTTATTTTATAGGTAGCCAGTGCAAGAGAACAAGATATGGAGATATATGAGAAAAGAAAGGGGCGCGAGCAACTAGACGAGCAGCAGAGTTAAAAGCTTTACTTAAAGGATAGAGTATAGAGTCAGGAAGACCATAGTAGAGCGAGTTACACTAATCAATCCTAGATAAGACTAACGAAGTATACGCGAATGACATAATCAAAATACGAACACAACGACAGAGACTCGTGTTTTCAGTTTAACAAACTTTATGATAAGTATGCAAAAACGTGGAGTGAACATTTTTCAGCTAGCAATTGAAAATACACACTACTAAACTAGTTCTCCATTCCCAAACGAAAAAATAATTTTGAGAAGAAAAATGATGCGTATGACCCGTGTATATACTTGTCTTGCATGGCGCGATATTCGACTTGACTTTTACCAGAAAATTGCTATTGGAGTAAAAATTTTACGTATTGCACATTTTTAGATTTTATGTATTGTACATTTTGTACACCTCATTTAGTAAAAAACAGCCAGCCAAGATATTTTTGAACCGCAGATCAGTAAAATCGATTGTTACAAGTTGTTATCATGTTTCCTAAACGTGACCAGTCTGATTAATTTTCATATTTTCTCTTCTTAGCAGTTTTACAAGCGATTTTTTAACATTTTTAAAAATCAAAATATCTCAAAATATATATTAATTGCTCCAAGTTGTAAAATAATACTTTGCCACTGTATTTTAAAATAGTTTTAAAATAATTTTAAAACATATTAAACCTATTTTTAACGATAATAAATAATTACGAATCATTGTTCGTTATTCTAAGATACGGTTTGCGCAGTGTAACGGTGTTTCAGCAGCAGAAACTATGCTTACCTTCTATACCTGTAAATTAAAGGTGTCTTCTATAGGCTGATTCGGGCCACTCCGAGTCAGTTTTACATGTTCTGATTTATAACTTTCTCTATTTTTGACTTCTTCATAAATATTTTGCACAGCTCTCACTCACGGTAAAGTGCCTAGCAAAGCTACTGCTGTGAACGGGTCCATTTGATGCAATGCAATATGTGTGGTGCATAGTATAAACTTTATATACATGCACTGTGTCGCCGATGCCTCTGAAATATATTGAAGTAAATGATTGTTTGTAATAAATAACTAAACAAACAACGTGATCTATCCCTGTTATAAATATTTCAAATTGCAAAATAAAAACATAATATGACTTTAAATTGAAGCCATATATATATAAAACAAATTATCAGTGAAGAATTTATTTGATGATTTAAAAAATTTTAACCTCGCCCGACTAATAATAAGTATGAGACAATGGTTAAAGAACAGTAGTAATGAACAAAAATATAACAGTCTCAACAACTTTCAGTCCGATATTACATAATGGACGACGACATAGTAGCGTGAACGTAGAAATGAAGGTTGTTGCAGACGTCAGTTGCCCGGCTGAACAATACCCGATGTCCTAACTTTCGGCTGTTGAAAATCAAATTTGAAACTTTTTAATTAAAACAATACAAATTTCATGTTTCAATGCAAGCAGACTTTAAATAATAATCTCGAAAAATACACAAATAAAAGCTGTTTGCTTAAATCGCACTATATAAATAAATTTTATCAGCTGATTGATTGAGATTTCATCAGCATTCAGTTGGAAGCACAACTGAAACGCAGGCAGAAGCAATCGTAAAATTAAACACATGTTGTTGAGCAAGTCTCACTGGGAAATTATTTATTACATTTAAAACAAGCAATATCAAAAGTGGCATGGCAGGTAACATGTGCATGTAGAGGTACATCTGCTTCTTCTGGAACATGATTTTTATAGAAAAAAAACCAAAACATACTCAACGACAAGATGAAAAAGACAAAAACACACACACACACACACACACACACACACACACACACACACACACACCACACACACACACACAGAGCGAGCGAACAGAGGAGCTTAAACTAACAGTGTTGCATATTACGTATCAACGATAATATATATTACCATTAAGATAACAGCATTAGATATAAAGTTATTAATATAATATCTTAAGTTAATATTGTCATATATAAAATAACTAGTATTACATATTCATGTGAACATAAATGAATTTGTTTAGAACGCCTGCCTACCCTAATGAAGACGTGAGTGGGTAAGGACTTCTGCAGGTAGTGGTCCAGATTGCAATCGGGAAATCTTATGTTTATAATTTTCAACTTTGGAAGCATAACGTTGCCAGGCACCACTGGAACCAAATTGTATCGCAAACGTGTTTCGCTATTTGGCAACACTCTCAAATTTACCTAAAAAATGAAATAGTTAGCTAAAATGATCGTACAAAGGTTTATATCACGAATGAATGTTGCTTTATAAATCAACATTTAACAAGAGTTAATTATAAAAATGAGCGTAGAGACGTGTAAATTCAATATTAATGGAGGCAATTGTATCGTTCGTTTAACGCTCAAATACTACGAAATGTTGAGAGGCGGGGCAAAATTTTAATTTGCAACTGTAAAAGCTCGCAAGAAAAAAAAAACAAAAAAAAATTAATATGAGCCGCGACATCATAGAAAACAAAAAATCAATTCCAGAAAAAAACCTGTTTATGCCCGGAGAACATGAATCCATCACAAGCTTCCATGGAGACTTGCAACTCTTGCACTACAGAGGAAACATTCTTTATGATGTAGGTGGTCACGAGATTGTTGTGCACAACTCCATGCGAGGCCACATCCAGCTTAAACTCCAGTGGAATGGTTGTCACGACGACTGATGGCAGAGTGATCGTTTTGGAAAAAACTTTCATGAAGTTCTGTGGGTCAGTCTCTGGTTTGTACTTCTGCAATTCTTGCCTGGGCACGTGTGTGTCGTTAGCAAGCAAGTTTTACAAAACATGAAAGTATTTTCACTGTCTGCAACGATTCTTACAAATACCTCGTCATGAAGACCTGATATTGTCCAAGTGGTACTACTTGATTTGTGATGACGTCGGCCGACACGCAGAAGTTCTCACTCGCCTCTTCTCCTTGGATGATCACTTCTGATAACAAAACAAACCATCCAGGAGAATATTAATCAATTCTTCAATTATATAAAAAAATATTACCTATGGAAAATTAATTTTCTTCTAAATTAGTCATATCGACAAATTATTTCTAGGTGGATGAAGACGTCAAAGCAAGTTATTTTAGTGTAAACTTAACACTGCTCGAGTTTATCTTAACAAAATGAAATATATGGTCGAAGAGAAACTACAGGAGACAAATGGCTGGTTGAAAAATCAGATAGTAAGTTGAAATTATTTTCAATCAATCAGTTAAAAGTATTTCAGCGTTATTATGCAGCAATATTATCGCATGTCAATTAAAAGTAAAAAAACAGAAAAGTTTAATTGAATTAATAATTACAAATCCAACCACCGATATTTTAAACTGATATGAATTCAATTCAGAAAAAAAAGAAAAATAAACAATAAAACACCGAAATAGTAGTACAATTAGTCAAGTAACAAAGAAGAAACAAAATCAACTGAAAAATGAAGAGAGAGGCATCATTCAGTCAGCAATGAAGAACATCTACCTGCTTGAAGGTACGATTCTTTCAATGGATCATCCTCCAAAACTGCCTTGTCACTCTGCAAAAAGATATGGTTTAATGCCATACATTTGTGAAAAGGCTTACATTTCTAGTAAAAAAAGTATGCTACTAATGTTTAAAACTTCATAACTTAAAAGATAGTCTTGTGGTTATTTCGAAACTGTAATGAGAGATTATTTTTGTTAAGAAAGAACACAGGTAATTCAATTTGGAAAAATTATATCAAGTTGTCTTTGCATTTTTCATATTTCAAAGCTAATACATAACTTTTCTTAAAGTTTAAAAATAGCGTTGTGTTTGTGAAAATGCATTCCATCAGAATTCTATCACATTCCATCAGAATTTTATCAGAGCTGTTAAAAAACTGATACTCAATGATAATATCTGATCCTACGCTGCATGCACTCTGATGCAAAATAATAGTAAAAAAAAGCTTTAAATAACTCTACAATGCACCGTCATTCATATAACAATTATAAAGGAAATAATTAAAAAAGTTAACTGCTAACCAGTAGAAGTTTGGAATTGAGAATTTGAATGGGACATTTGAAGTTGTTGCGTAGTGCGGTCATGATGATGAAGCTGCCGTCAACAGGGGCAAGTGGAAGAATCCTTTCCAACTGCATTCGGTGACAAAACATGATTCACAAAATTAAAGATTATTTTTATTTATTTATTTATTATTTACGAATTAAAGAATTAGGATTTAAAAGCTTAGATAAATAAACATGTAAGCTACAAAAAAATCTGTAAATAGAGACAAAACTATTTTGCACTTTTAATACGCAGATGACTTAACATAAGCGAGCTATCTTTACACCGAACAGTCAAGAAAAAAGCGACGACCAATGAATAATCAGTGAATTATCAACGAGTTGTTACTCAGTAAGTTAAATGATGAAGAAGGACTGCCACGACTACTCAGCGACTCTGCTGACTCCAAGCAGAGTATTGAAATCGGATTCGGCCGGGGTCGGAGTTTTTTGATTGAGAGGCCGGAGTGGGGTCGGATATTTTTCATCCGACTCCACTCCGACACCCTGGTTCTAAGACTGAAAGATTAGAATGCTCAAAACGGTGCTTGCATAAGAACGCATACGTATGTACGTTGGGTATGCACGGTCGAGCAGATTTTGTTGTTGAGAAATAAAATTAACAATAACTGAGCAAAGGGCCTATAAAAAGGAAATATAAATGTAATACTGCAATTAAGTTTTATGATAAAAACAATAAATAAATAAATCAATAATTAGGAAAACACATTTTTTTGCATAATGCCAAAAACTGCAACAAAAATCGAGAAAGCTTCAACATCTCCCTACCTTCGGAGTAAGAAGAACCACATCTATGTCAACGGGATCAACGAAGTCAACATGCACCAGTTGATTCTCTGCGCACCTGCACGTTGTTTCACCCTTGCTAAACTGGATTCCAATATCGTAAGTGATCTGGGGGAAGCACGTTTACATACTACGTTCTTATAATCTGTTTGATATTGTTAGTAAGTTGGTTTATTAAAAGTTTCATTCACTGTCGCCAAGAAAAGACAAGGAAGAATAGGAAAAAGAGAAATAAAGCAAAGAATGCAAAAATTGCAAATGATTCTGCCAAGTGGATAGTCATGAACAGTCACAAAATTTATTATTTGTTAATTTATTCTTGTCATTCTCTTATTTGTTGGCACTTCATTCAAAGAAGTGACAAAGACATCTGAAGTCCTTTATTACATTTACATTTAATCCTATTTAATTGTAATTTAATCCTTTGCTGTTTGCTGTTCAATGTGTTTCTCTGTGTTCCTTCATCATTCCATTCACATTACTTTCTTGTGGAATGCAATTTCAACAACTGACAGATTCACCATTCTCTTATTAACTCAACTTTGGTCCATCTAATTTAATTTATAGTTCATTTAACAATCTTTGGTTAAATCTAACGAACTTCAATTCATTATATTATCTTTGGTCCCTCTAGTTATTTTTAGCTCGCTTAACTATTTCTGGTTCGTTTAACTACCTTTGGTCCGTTTGACTATTTTTTTAAACTTTCTAAAAAAACTTTTCTGAAAGTTGAAAAATTATAATTGTTTCAACTGATAGTTTATTTGTTTTTAATGTCGTGCTATCGCTTGTTTCGCGATTTCAGTAATTAATGTTTGAAAAATTCAACTGCTTCTGAATTCATTCCCTCTCTGTAGCTTCATTTTGATCAATTTGTTGACACTCCACTCAAACAAGTGACAAAGATATTTGAGGTCTTCCTTTTTTTAAAAATATGTGTACATCGATAAAAAAATAAAAGGGCACTTAGAAAAAATATTATAATTATGCAAAATAATCAAATCTTATTTCACCAGCCAATCTCACCAACCAACCAGTCAATCAATAAATTAATAAATACATAAGTAAATAAATAAATCAATCAATCAAAAAATAAATCAAAAAATAAATCAATAAATAAACCAATAAATCAATAAATCAATCAATAAATCAATCAATAAATCAATAAATCAATAAATCAATCAATCAATCAATCAATCAATCAATCAATCAAACAAGCAATCGACCAGTCAGTCAATCAATCAATCAATCAATCAAACAAACAATCAACTAACCGACAGCATGAGAATCAATTTTCCAGGAGATCTTGAAGTAGCATAAAACTTGGCTGTTGTCGTGCCACGCTGTGGAACTTTGTGACACATGTCAATTATAATTGGATGACTTGCTTTCAAATATCCATCTTTATCGTATGGTATCATAGTTTTGAAAGATGATGAAGATAACGTGGATGATGTATCATTTAAAGAGATGGAGGTTGTGGTCATCTGATCTTCTGCTATTTGCCTGCCCATGAACAGAGTCGCTGGGTGATGAATAAATACGATATGATGCATACATATTCCAGTGTACTATATCAACATAAATAATTCAAACGCTATATCGATTAAGGAACACAAATAAGGTTTCGTTTAAACTTAGAACTTTAAATTTTTGAATCTGATGCAACACAGTAAGGAACGTTGAAGGCATAGTAACAAAACGAACATAAAAAGTGCCGTAATGCATGAAGAACAAAAAGGTAATCTGAATGTCCATATGTAAGTGTAGAAAACGAAGGGGCTACTAACTCTCTGCCCTCATATCACTGGTCACGTTCGGATCAATCAAAACACTGCATCTGCAAAAAATTAATTCACGTTTGTCACACCAAATTATTAAGGATAAAAGTAAATTCTATCTATAAAATATTCAGACAAATTTTAGTGAAACTCAGAGCCTTCTTAAATAATTTTACGAAACCCATACTTATCTACAGATACAAATCTCTTAAATGTCACGAGAATTTAAATGTTCTTTTTAGTAGTTTTAGTAAAAAACGAGCCTTTAATTAATTTTTGCATGAGTCATATTCATTATAAAGAGTGTTTCAAGTAGGAATTAGGTCAAGTTGTTTCTAAAGCAATATTCTCAAATACAATTGAATACATTTTTTAATAATTCTAATTTTTTCATCAGTATGGTCGGATTTAATAAGAGAGCCTGGCAAACCTAACCTCACATTACGGATTTCATTATCCTCACAGCTGGTCACAACCACAGTAAACTCTAGCATCTCCTCCACGAATCCAGGCGCATTGTGAAGGACATTCAGTTTTATGTTCGGCTTCCTAGAAGTAACTCTGTTAAAAAATTGTTCATTTATATATAATTTAAATCATTTCAATGAAAAAAAATTTGTTAGAATTAAGCGATGTAAGATATTTAATTATAAGCTAAGCTAACTCAGATTATTTTCTTGACTAAGTCAGCCAATATAATTGAAAAATCATTAGAATGCAGATGTACTAACTTAGCGAAAGGTTCCATCCTGATAGCCTGCCACCTATCTTCATCCTTTTTCGGTATGGCGGATGGTTCCGGGAAGAAATTCTTCTGTAAGCAGACCATCGGAGGAGCACTGTCCAAACTCGTTCCATTCCACAACAAGTTAAACTTTGGCAAGTTGGTTTTCTCAGTTTTTATATTCTGGCCCATCTCCATGACCATGGATAACACCTTCGCCGATAACAATGTTAACGTATAATATTTTGTATTGACAGCATTGTCGAATATATAATTACAATAATAATAAACGAAATTAAATACAGCATAAAATACAAAAGAGCAACCAAAGAAAGCACCGACCTCGATTTGTCCGCCAACATCACTGGGCAATGAAATAAATTTGAAAGTGACCACTTTAACTTTCCCGTAAGAGAGTTTCAACATTTTGCCAACGCCTTCTTCAATTTTATAATCATCTTCGTTGTCGTCGTCGCCGTCACTCATTACGGTCATCAATCGGTTGCTGGTGAAGTTGGAGTTGGAATCATTGTATTGCCAGAAGCAGCATTCATTGTACGACTGGTGCAGTGTTTTTTATATAAAGATCGAGATGAGATGATGGAAACAATAACGCCAATGAAGCCACGCAAAGTGGACAATTTAAATTAAAATTCAATAACTATCTGGATCAAAAAATTGAAATTTAACAACTATCTGGACCGAAACAATTTTGAACAGGAGCGTGAAAATAGTACAGCATTCACTAACTGAATTGTTGAACGTGATGGATAACTTTTTGAAGTAAATAGGTTCCGGCGCATGAGATCTGCGTAAAACAAATGTTCAACCTCTCATTTTAATTTTTAATTATCATTTATTAAATTGTTGAATAAATTCAGAAAGCAAAATAGATGTTAAAAATGAATACCTCAAAAAAACTTGTAACTCTATGTAAGTGTCCACAGAAAAGATCTCTTTTGCAAACTGAATCCGGACTTCAACTGAAAGAAACATCGATCAAATTATTGAAAAAATTGCAAACTTTAAAAAATAAAATTTAATAGCTGAAATATAAAATAATGCAACTAGGTTTTGTGAGATAAAATTGTTAGGCAACGTAGCTTATACAACAGTTGGGACACTAATGATAATTAACATACAATATTAAGTCAAATCATTTGACCAACTAAGTATGAACTTGTTTGTTGCAGGCATTAAGTTATGCCGGTTAAACATGCTTATTTAGTTGCCCACAGACAGAAAACCAATGTATTATTGTATTATGTATCAATGTATTATTGATAAAACCAACAAAAACATTTTATTAACTCTATTTAATGTGTATATAGCTGGAGTTTGCTACTGAGGAAATGAATATAACTGAATCTAATCTACACCTTTCGAATTCATTAATGAATTGATCGATTACAACAAAGGTTCAAGTTGATCTGGCTGAAAGTATGGATGAATAAGAAATCATTCGAAGGGTAGAATGTGATGTCTCTGGAAATGGTTGACGCTAAAAAGATTTTAATGGTTGGGGAACCTCTCTAGGTTTCAAATGAAAATATTGATTACTTCAAAAATAAAAAGTTAGATGTGTAAGCGAACTATTTTCAGTCCAATATTTAATAATGATCCAAAAAAATTTGGTGAAATCGGAAAGTTAAAATGGAAAAATTGAAATTACGTTTAGTGGTAATACAGATGACAAGCTCAATGAGAAGATATCGAAAGGTTTTCAGTCATATTTGACGACAATTTGACGCACCTGATGATGTTTTCACTCTAATATTTAAACCGACTTTAAAGAAAAATTAAAATACAATAAAAATCTTACGAAGTATTCAACGCTCACGTTTGGACTAAACTCACCGCTATTCGTGAATGGATCTTCAATCCGAATCCAGCTAAACATGAAACAACAAACAAGTTGCCGTCATTTTTCATCTCTTCAACAAAAAAACTTGCTCATACAATTTTAATCTGTTTTTTTTTTCTTAAAATAACTTTTGTAACAAATTCACTTTCCATCTAAATGATAGCAACATTATCTAAAAATTGATGAGTAAAAAATTTTATCTAAGTCATTTTCAGCATTTTCAGAAAGGCTTAATGACGCTACGTGTAATCTAACAAGAACTGACTCATATGAATTCACATCAACTGAGTAAGCAGGATTGAAGGTGGTTTAGTATTATTTTCAAAAAGACAATATTCAATATATAATTAATGTTAACCACATGAGAACCTAACTTCATGTTTTTACTTTCGAATTAACTTAGTTTGACCAGTGGACTGTTACGAGATTGTTTTTAAAAATTTTATTTGATTTCAGGATAGTTTTCATTTCAATCCATTTATTTAGTGATAGTCATGTCATATTTAGATTGATTTGTTTCTAAATGCAAACGTTAAAAATTTATTAAAAGGTAGTTGATTAAACTTTTTTGGTGTAAATTGTTTGTACTGAAAGATAAGACAAACAAATCAAATACAATACAATACCATATAACACAACATGACACAACACAATACAATAAATTACAATACAATAAAATACAACGCAATGCAATATAATACAATACAATACGATACAATACGATACAACGCAATACAATTACAATACAATACAACACAACACAATATAATACAAACCAAATGAGTGAACACAACTCATCTCAATGCTGTAATCCTTCTTATCAGTTGATTGCGCATATGCATCCCAGGCTGAAACAGCTGAATGTAAGAAGGACTCTTTCACGTTTTCCTCAGCCGATGGGGTCTCACCCTACGTTTGTGGTTGTTGTTGTTGGTGGTGCTGTAGTTTTGCGGTTGTTGATGTTATTGTTTTGTAGTTCTGTGATGTTGGTGTTGTTGTTTTGTAAAGCAAAAGTTGTCGTTTTGTAGTTTTGTAATGTTTGTGTTGCTGTCTTGTAGTTTTGTAATGTTGATGTTGTTGCACAATACAAACAGTCTTGTGGAAACATTTGCTTGCTTGTGAATTACAACTAACAGTATAGCCGTCAAACATAATAACAACAACAATTATAAACAACAACAACAACAACAACAATAATAATAATAATAATTATTATTATTATTATTAATATCAATATAATGTTCCCCCAGTGTTAACTACATCCATTATATCCCATTCCTAATTTAATTTTCCACCAATTATTTTTAAAGACTTCGATTTAATTTTAAAAAATTCCTCACATTCCATTCATAATTTAATTTTCAACCAACATTAATTATCTGTTGAATATTTCTTTGCAGTCTCAACTTTTCATCCTTGCTAACCATTCCATCTGGTCAGTCAGGTTCATCAGATAAGGAAAACAAATTTTTCCAAAATAAAATTATTCTAATAAAATTTCCTAGGCTTATAATGTATAAAAACACAAGCGGGCAAACAAGTAACAAACTAAAACAAAACTACAACACAACAATATTAACATCACAAAAATTACAAAACCAACAACGTCAACAATGCAAAACAACAACAACAACATTACAAAACAACAACATCAACATTACAAAACTACACAACAACATCAACATTACAAAACAACAACAACATCAACATTACAAAACTACACAACAACATCAACATTACAAAACTACACAACAACATCGACATTAAAAAACTACACAACAACATCAACATTACAAAACAACAACACAACAACATTAACATCACAAAAATTACAAAACCAACAACATCAACATTACAAATTAAAACGCTGGCAGTCGTTAGATAGACGTGGTTAACCAACGCAGAAAAAAGATACAGACGCCAACAAGTTCGAGGCAGATGGTGACGTACTCACGAGGGCTGCACGATAAGTAGGCGCATCTATTGCATAAGTTGTGTTGATTTATTAAGTCACTTTACATCCAACAAAAATAACATTAAATTTTTTTACATTCCTCAGCGATAAAAAATATCCTTAAAAATATACCAATCCTTCTATAACTAAATATCCAAATAATCTTTGCTTGAAAATGAAATTTCATTTGTAAGATGAAACTTATAAAAAAAGGAAAAGCAAAAAACCACACAATACAATCAAATAATAATAACTCTCATTAGATGTTTAATTTAAATTCGACTCAAAAATTGAAAGAAACGGACGACAAACTTTAGCGCCATCTGGAGTATGGAAGTCAAGATGATCCACCAGCGTTCGTTTCTGTACTCCCAGGTCACTCTGGATAGGAGGCTTCAAAAGGACATTTATTTCATCAAACACATTCAAACACATTTCATCAACAACAGATACAAACTAACATGTTACATCAATAACAAAAACAAACACACGCAACTGCTGAAAAACTGCACAACAGAGCAATGGAGGGAAAAGCGATCAAAATTTATTAATAAGACAAGACATCGATGTACTAACGGCAGGGCTTTCGCGAATTCGTTGGCGTTGTAGTACTCACGTAACAACTGCACAGCTGACGGAACGTCATTCGACCAATGTTCATTATTAAACCGCGGATCAAGTGCAAACATACAAGGCGTGTCACAGCATCAGAAATAACAGTGGGTTTTTAAATAGTAAAGCTTGAATAGTGATCTAAAACAACGTAGAAAATTCAAGAAAAAAATCAAACAAGCGAACGATCGATCGATCAAATGAACGAATGAGCAAACAAATGAACAAACTTACTAAGATGTCTCTTCATTCTTGGCGACTTGAATTTCTTAGCATGAGTGATAGCATAGCCCAAAATAGGAATTATGATTTTCTGTTGAATTCATAACATTTACAATGTCTAAAATAACGTTTCATTTAATAATCTAGTATAATGTTTAGTACAGATTAATCATTTAACATCTGAATAAAAATATGAGATGTTTTAAGCGGAATAATCAAGATTTCATTTCATATCATTCCTCTAAGAGACATGAGATTACTTACCAGGTTTAACTATTTTGTTTTCGACTCATTTAAATTGTAATGAACTTATTAGGACAGTTATCAACACAGCGAACAATGGAAACCATCCAACACTTCATAGCCCCATAACAGTACAACAGCACATCCAACAGCAACTTAACAGAGCTCATTACTTCGCTTTTAAAATTAAAATAGGAATCACTTAATTCGTTTCGTGCCATCGTAGAACAGAATTTAAAAAACAGCTAAAGAAGAAAGATAAAAAAATGTTGTTAAGTAACGTTATTGGTACTGACGCAGTAGTCCACCTGCTTCTCTAAGATTTGCAGCGAGAGTATGCCTTCTCGTTCTTCCCTCAAATCAGGAGGTTCGATACCTTCAACAAAATATTTTCTTCAGAGTGAAAATTGCAATAAAATTGTTTCCATAATGATAATAACTCCTTTCACGTGTACAATAATAGGAAAAATTTTTCAAATTTAAGTAATATTTAAAAATTTTAGCCCACAGATCATCTCAGGCAGCAGCTGATATTTAACTGAAGTTGAAAAATTACTTTGATGCCCCTGCCTCCATGGTCTCTGACCGTAATAATCCAAGTTGTTCAAAGCTTCGATCAAATCACTGCAGGATCGTGCTGGAACACCCTGAGTTTCAAACGTTGTTGTTAAATGTTACAAACACGTTGAGTGCTGTAAAAATTGCATCTATGAATTAATAAGATATGCTAGTATTGACTTGGAAAATGCATGAAATCAATTATGAAAATAATTGTGAAATGAATGCAATAGAAAGTAATGATTTAGAGTGATGACTGTGGTATACAACTCTTAAGCTTTTTGTTGATTGTAGTGTTGCTACATGCTGTTTCGTTCCTTAAATCAACATTTTATGCGTTTTACTTGACTTCAAATTAAACCCTCGTTACCCAACTCAATGACACTCCAACTTTCATGACTAAATCTGGAAAGCTGAAGATCACTCCAACATCTCTTTGGTGCCAGATCAATGATGCCTGCGGCCTGATAGATTCCAGTATCTCTAATACGAACTACTCTTAAGTTCCAGTGCTTTCCACGTTGTACAAAACATTCAAAATGATGAAAACATTGCCAAGCTTGAAAACAGTTTAATTTCTAAATGCAATCAAATGAATCAACACAAAAGAGTTGAAAAGAAACGGGAAGATGTTCACAAAGGAAATTGAATGGCCCACTTGGCATATGGTCATTGAAAGAGATCTTCTGTTGCAAGAATGGTGAGCAGCCTGTTGATAATAAATTCCTGGGTGCTGGGTCAAGATGGCTGTCAGGCCTTGCTTGATGGCCTCATCAAACAAATCAGCAAAAACCAAAAATCTTCAAAATAATTTATGAACAAATTAATTTAAACTAATTTGGAGGAGTTTTTCAAAAATATTGTAAATATAATAAAAATATAAGTCTAATAAATTTTGACCGCATGAATAAATGCACGCCTGTTGTGCACGTATGTGTAAAGAAGAAATGAACCAACTGTTTCGACATCCATGCACTATGTTCGAATGAAAGTTCCGGAATCCCGGGCTTGTTTTTGAAGAAGTCAATGTGCTTTCTGAACTGAGATATGGCATCTAACGGTGTATTGTGCATAAAACACAACTTGCATATCTGCCAATGGTTCGTTGTTGAACAGTTTGTTATCACTCATACACACGAAATAACATAATTAAAACGCAATATTATTTATTATTCTCTTGCTAGTTCAGTTGGTTCAAAGTAACAAAAACAGTTAACAATGGCGGAATTGAATTGAATATGTTCAGTGGCTCAATTTTCAAGATAGTGCTGTAGAGTTACATCAGTGAAGCAGGCAAGTATAATATAAGATAACCTTGTATGTGAGGAACCCTGCAATAGTCTTAATTTCGAGAATGTTGAAGTCAAGAAACCTCAACTCCAAGATGTAGGCATAAGCTTGCTTGTAATACCTGCAGAATGTCAGCATGTTAATGACATGATGCTTCTAGCATCTGCAAAATGTTAACATGATTTTATAATGCTGTGTGCTTTACAAATCATTCCAACAGCATACGACTTTTTAAATAACTTCATGTTATAGTTAACTGAGGATGCACAAAAAATTTAAATGTAAAAATCACTTGAGAGCAGCATGTAAGTCCTGCTTTTGTTCATTGAAGAAGGCTATTTTGAACTGATGCCTTACGAAGAGTAACTGAAAATTTGTGCAAAAATAACGAAAGTTTATTCGTAGTATTTGAGGCAAAACAAAAAAAATACATCAGTAATTATTTCGTCGAACTTTGAGAACTGGCACATTACAAAAGGAGCTGATGAGTTCAGTTTATGAATGAATGAAGTTCAGTAAAAAAATATTATCAACTGAAGGAGCAATTAAGAAGCGACAGGGACTCACAGCATGAGTTGTTTTATTGAGTAAATCTTTGTGAGCCTTGGCCCTCCTAGCTTCAGTGTGGTAGTAAGTTTTTGAGTGATCAGCAAATGCTTGTTCCAACCTGTGCAATTGATTAGTCAGATATTCAGCTGAGAAGTTTCTTTCTATGTAGATGTTACACTAATGTTATGAGAAATAGAATCAGTATGACTTTTAAACATGCAAAAAATAAGCATAACGATAATTTGAGCACTATTTATAAATTAACAACGAAACTGAAAAATAAAAATTAAATAAAACTATTAGTTCAAAAGTGTCATTTAACATCAATTTGCGTACGACGGAGACTAAAAAGATATTGAAGACCTGCAACATGTTTTCATCTGCTAAACTTCTACTGAATTAATATATGAAACTGGGCTGGTGCGTGGTGCATACATTAATACAGAATGCACCAACTTTCATGACTGTAACCACATTTACACATATGACAGATGCTAAATTGGTTCAGTCTTGTCATCAATCTTGCTTATTTATTGCCTTGGTTCAGAATTATACAACTATAAAAAACAATTAAAACAAAAAAAGATGCCTTCTCATTTATTTCAAACATTTTGAACAACAGATCAGGCTACTAAAATTAAATTTAACTGAAACACGTTTTTCATCGTGAGACAAAACGATTATGAAACTTTCAAGCAATCAGGCACAAATGCTCAGAACCCCTGCAAACCATACTAAAAAATATTCATCT